AGGAAGCTGCAGCAGTTGGTGTGTGCTCTTCCCGGACACCAACTGCTGCAGCTTCCTGAGCCTGACGAAGGGTTTTTGAACCCGAAAGCTTGCTTAATAACTATTCTCCAACCATTTGGGTTGGTCTAATAAAAGATATCAAATTCACCCAAGGAACCTTGTCTGCCTATATCCTTAGACCAACACGGCTACAACCTAAACCCCTTAACATCCTTATATCACTTTCTATTCTGCTGCTTATATTTTGTTCTTTAGCCTTTATATCTCTCTTGCAGAATTAAAATACAATCTGTTTCCCAGACCAACCCCTGCCTGTGTACTATCTTGACAATTTACATCAGCTAGTGACAATTCACAGTGTTTGGAAAATGTAAGGTTGTGTTTCATTAGTGGAGTATTCCAGCTTTCAAATTAATTTCTCTTGTCCATGAACCATAGCCAAAGTTTGTTGCCCTTTGGGGCATAGGACAGAGGTCCATGTTTTTCCTCAGGCATTCACTTCTGTTTGGGTTAGATAAAAAAGTAGGCCAAGTAATGTTCTTTTGAGTAACCCCTTCCACTGTGGCAGCAGTGCTGTGTCTTCTTCACGTCCTTCAGGTATACTATCCGCAGGTGCAGACTAGCGTAGAAGACAAAATAAGCTCTTGCTTTTAATTAACAGCACTGATATCTAGTACATATTTTCAGATTATGTTGTTAATTGTGTAAATGTACCAACAGTTTATAATGAATGTATATTTATAAGCATTAATATAAATGCATATTAATATATTAATATTGTCAAAGTAGCAAGGAAATCCAGACACACCTTTAACTGCTTTAAATTCCATCCTTCAACAGAATCCATTGGCCAGAGACAAGACAGAATAGCCTCTCAGTAAATGACAACAAAATATCTCCTGGGTCACATCAAACCTCACACTTATATTTTAAGTCCACCTATATTTATGATGTTCTGGTATGACATATTGCATACCATGGGCCACAGAATTTCTCCAAGGAACTCCTACATTAAGTCCATACCTTCTATCTCAATTAGGGCAAATCTATTAGAGGCTCCAGACAGAGTATCATGAAGAATGACAGCATATTGTTGTTGTTATTAACTGAATGCCCCACACTGGGTAAATTGCATATTATTTCTAGTCTAACTCCAGCTTCCAATTATTGAATTTTATTATGTCTTTTTTGACTAAGATGTTGAACAGTGTGGGCCCAAGGACTGAGCCCTGGAGAACCCCACTGCTCATATCCCTCCAGGTCGAAAAAGACCCGTCCACCACCACTCTCTGGGTGCGGCCCTCCAGCCAATTAGTGACCCATCTGAGTGTAGGTACCGATGCCACAGTCTCCTAGTTTTTTAATGAGAATGGGGTGAGAGACAGTGTCGAAGGCCTTCCTAAAGTCCAGAAAGACTATGTCCACCGTGACACCTGCGTCCAAGGATTTTGTGACCTGGTCATAGAAGGCCACCAGGTTGGTATGACAGGATCTGCCCCTAATGAACACATGTTGGTTGCCCCTAAGCATACAGTCCCCTGCTTGCCCCTCACAGATGTGCACCTGGATAATTTTCTCAAAGAGCTTCCCTAGGACCGAGGTAAGACTAACAGGCCTATAATTTCCTGGGTCCTCCTTCCTTTCTTTTTTGAAAATGGGGACCACATCGGCCCTTTTCCAGTCCTCTGGCACCTCACCAGAGCACCACAAGTGCTCGTAAAGCTGTGCCAGGGGTCCCGCAATGACCTCTGCTAATTCCCTCAGCACTCTGGGGTGGAGATCATCAGGACCTGCTGATTTGAACACATCCAGTCCCACCAGAAGTTCCCTGACTAGGTCCTCTCTGACTCTGGGCCTGGCTGTGCCTCCCCTGGGTCCATCGAGGATCCCGGTGCGGGGATGACCTGGTCCCTGCTCAGAAAAATGGAGGCAAAGAAATTCTTAAATAGGTTAGCTTTGTCATCTGGTGAGACCACCAAATTTCCTAGTGTGTCCTGCAGAGGCCCCGCATTATCCGGAACCTTCTTTTTACCCCCTATGTATTTAAAAAAGGATTTCTCATTATCCTTGATCCACTCTACATATAGAGTGGTCTTTTGTTCTAATTATATTTATATATACACATATATACACACACATATACACACATGAGAGAGAGAGAAAGAGAGAGAGAGTTGGGGGGGGGTCGATTACTTGGGCAATGCTTTATTGATATATTTACAATGTTAAAGCAATTTGGAAGCCTACCAGTGTCTCCATCATCATGATAAAATAAATTCTAAATATCTATATGTGTTGATGTGTACATTTGGTTTTCTTCTCACATAATGGGTGTGTGATGGAGGGATGTGGGGTTGCAGGAAGGGGATGGGAAGGGATGTAGGGGAAGGCAGGTGGGTGTGTGTGGGGGTGTGGAGGGATGTAGGGGGATGCAGGTTGGTGTGTGTGTAGGTGTGAGACGATTGTGGGGGGACTGTGGGTGTGGGAGGACCTTGTGGGGGGGTTGCTCAGGAGAAGTGGGTCCCCTGGCCCCCACCGGGTGCAGCCCCCCGACACAGCACGTGGACTGCCCCCCTCCCATGCAGGGCCACAGCCCCTATCCCCCACAGGATCCCAGGCACCCTGCAGGGCCACAGCCCCCTGTGCAGGGCCTACAACTTACCCCCTGCAGCAGCAGTAGGAGTGGAGCACTCTAAGCCTGCTGCTGCCAGCCCTCCTGCAGCACGGAGCAGCCTATAGTGGCTCAGAGCCAGCACTGCCTGTTCCACTCATCAGGGGCCAGTGCCACTCGCAGGGACTGCGTGTCATGCTGAGCTGGGTCCTGCCAGCACTGAGGCCGCTCACACCACCATGTCAGGCTGGTTCCATGGCGGCAGGACCCAGTGTGGCTGATATGACTCCCCAACTCGCCATTTCCTAGCCCCACATGGGCTGATATGCCCCGGGCCCCACACACCCATAGGGACAGCTCTGGGGCTGCCATACACCTGCTCCCCCACCCGGCAGCCATGGCACTGGTAGTAGCAGGCAATCGGGGCTGTGCAGGGCTGTGGCTCTGCTGCAGGCACAGTGGGCAGTGATGCAGCACTGTGTGACATGGGTTCTGTAGATTCTCAATGGACCTGGCCTGACCCATCCAAGGCCATGCACTAGCAGACCAGGCCAGGTCCATTCAGCATGTACGGAGCTCGGGTCACACAGCACCGCATCACTGCCTGCTGTGCCTGAGCCACAGCCATGCTGCCTGCTGCCACCGGTGCCACAGGGGCCAGGGTGGGGCAGGCATGTGGCAGCCCCCACTCAAGCCCCTCCACATACCCACCCACTGGGACATTCCCCTCCACCACTTCCCACACCCCCTGACCTCCCCCTTCACTCCCCATAGCCCACAACAACCCCCTCCACTCCCAACACCCCCCGACATCCCACTCCACTCTTGACACTCCCTGACATCCCCCTCCATTCCCCATAGCCCCCGACATCCTCCTCCACTCCCAACATCCCCTTGCCACTCCTCACACCCACCCACACCCATAAACCCTCCCACTCCACGTCCCTAACTTACCCTTGACAGCACCGGGGGCAGCAGTAGCACCACAGAGACACTGGCCAGAAACCAGAGCATCTCTCCTGGAGGACCAACTCCCAGGTTACCTCCAAGCATGGTCTGGGAGTGTATCTTGCCCCGCTGTTCTGCGGAGCTTTTTTTTTTTACCCCTGCATCCAGGGGTCTAATTTTGCTCCCATGCTGCAAGTTTGCAGCATGGGGAATGTTTTTTTGTTCTTGCATGTGCTTCTTGCAATGTCTCAAAGGGCTTTGAGACGCTGTAAGATACACGTGCACGCTCATGTGGATGAGCCCCATGTAGGCTATGGTCTGTTTATAGTTTAACTTTCTCATGATAAAATTAAATCAACTGAGCCTGAGTCACAGCAGCGGCCTACCCCACATGTGATTTGAAAACAAGGGGCTTCCCCCATGTTAAAGGTGGGGGGGAGAGACTTTATTTTAGAATTAAGTAAATATACTGTTCACCTGCACTACCTGTGCATCCTTTCAATGTACAGGTCACTTATGAAGCAAACAGCATATATAAAGAACTTGATTTTCCCTTGTGCCCAACTTTCTTTTTTTTATTCTGCACTTTCATGCTGCTTCAACTCTAACAGTTCTTCCGAGTACTATACAACTGCTTCACACCAAAAGAGGAAAAAATGGAAAAAACAGGTCTATATGACTCTATGCTTTGAGCTTCTTAAACTCTGACTCTATGCAACCCATATCCACCTCCAACATATCCAGCGTATTATACATGTCATAGCAAAATTTTAGTGAAATGAAATTTCACCTGTGTTCCATGAAACCCGAGGAGCATTTGTATCTGTTGTTCTAATAGAAATATGGACAGTGATTGGTGAACTCCTTTCAAAGTATAAGTCATGAATCTCAAACTCCACCTGTTAGATAAATAGACATACCTTCACTGAAGAAACAGGTTGAAATATCATTGCTTATGCATATCCAAAACCTATACTGAAGGTCACTGGAGGTCAGTGACCTTCTGAAGAATGGAGGTCACTTAAGAAGTTAAGATAGTATGATAACACATCTTAAGAGGTTCTGATAGTATGATAACAAACCTAATAAGGTTTAAGATGCTATTAAAACCTCTTGCTTTCTGGCAAATGGTCTGCTCAAAAAAATGGCCTATCTGGATAACATGGTTAAGGCCTGCCCCAGTTTCTATAGACAACAGCACATGAGGCAGTAATGTGGCTGGCATCACATCCAACCACCTTTGACTCTCTAGCCTGAATGATCAGATAACCATTTACAGTTGGGTTGGCTAGATACAGCCGTTGGCATAAGTCCAGAGTGAGGTTTCAAATTTACGCACTCTGAAAGCAAAGGAAGATGCCCTAAGCATCTTTCTACTCCCTAACCTGACTTTTTGTACCAAGTTTCTCTATTCTTTTATGTTGTGTTCCTGAAAGATAACTTATAGAAATCTTCTATCATATTAACAGGAGAAACACATTTTCTTTACCACTAGAGGAACTCACATAGAATTTTTGCAACAGTAAAATAAAATTTGAGACACATTTCCTGGATCAGAGATGCTTTTTAAGTCTGTGAGACATGGTATAGAAAAAAAATGAAGGAAAATTAAATACAAGAGGGACAGAAAATAAAAAAGTAATTTAAAATTGTTGAAGGTGTGTCCAACAATGCTGCAAGCAAAATGAAGGAGAGAAATTAAAATATTAGGCTGCTCTTGACTTGTAGTTTCCTAGGGTAGAGCTAGAATTCCTATGAAAGAGATTCCCTGGATTCTGGGAGCTTATAAACCCTGCTACCTTACTTTTATCAGCCTTAGGCACCGAAATATTTTACTGTAGGGATCTTGTCACTGTTTTCCCATCTATATCTTTATCAACTTATATAATATTGACTTCATATCCTCTCATGTGATTTCACCGTATTCACATGAGCCTTTTTCTGCAATTCTTGCTACCTACTTGGATCTCCAATTGGCTCTCCATCTCATTAGATGCTCCTTCTATCAAGGAAGGTTTTGAGCACAAAGTGCTTCTCATGTGCAACTGCAGGCTTTCTATTTGCTTTGTTTTTTCACTCGCTTGTTTCCTGGGTCTATAGACCTAGAAGTCCTTGGTTGCTCTCACAATTTCCCATTACCTCTTTCTATCCAGGGCATATTTTTCCCATACTACTAATTCACAGTAAGAACTCTTATGTCTCTCTCTCAGCATTATCCCTCCCATCTTCATCTTAATGTGTCATAGTGAACACAAAAATAATTGCTTTCTAAGACACAAAGCTGGCCTGTCTTCTGTCATTATAACCACATGTCCTATATAGGGAAGCTGGAATTTGACTACTAGGGTCTCCCAAACTAAAGCAGTTGCAATATATGTAAATTTACTGATCCACCAGGTTGGGGATTGGGTTGAAAGGTAATATCATTATCTCATTAAAAATAGTTAAGAAACTGTAAATGAAAATGGGGGAAAAAATTTCTGGTGTCAGTAAATTAATTAGTGAACAGTGAACACACACCTGATTTGGGTTTGATAGTAGTATATTGGTCAGAGAGTGATGAAGTACACTATACTGTACAGTATGCTGAGTTAGGTTGCATCTCAGTTTCAAAAGGTAGTAGAAAATATACACGGGACTTGAATAACAAATATGTGGCAATATAAAATACTGTATTTACTCACCTACCACACATACCCTTTACCCAACCATTAGTGATCCAAATTTGGTACATGTGTTTTAAGTGGGAAAAATTATTTTCTGTCCCATGGGGAAGCATGGAGAAGTTATAAAACCTTTTCTTCCTTGTCTTCCCCACCCCCAGCTGGCTACATTGAAGGAGAGGGAAGAATCCAGTGTTCAGCAGCAGTGTAGTTTTAGCTGTTTCCAGCCACTGCAAAACTGGCACTAGCTTTTGGCTGAGCATCAAAAAGCTGATGCTGGTCTAGCAGCAGCTGTGAGAGGGTTAAAACTTTAACTTTTACCTAAGCAGGAAAGGGTAAAAAAATGATCCAAAAGGTAGGCTCTATTCCTGTTCATGTGGCCATGAAAAAAAATTCTATTCATTTTGTCTTCCTAAAAGAAGGTGCATGTCTTATTTGGAGGGGTATATGAATATGGCATGAATAACTTCTATGAAAGAAGTTTCAAAAGAAAAAAAGACTTGTAATTGAGATCAGAATCAGGCCCACCTGCTTTATGTTATACAAAGAATTTGCCTTTAGACTGCGGAAATGATATGCAGTAGATATTTCCCTCAGTGAATATAAAGAAAACAGCTGTTGTACTAAAGTGAGAATGTGTTAAACTGCATATGAGAAAGTCAGTGCTAAAGATGTAGTGTGTGGGTAAATAAGTAGAGAGACAGGATTACGAAAATAACGTTTTGGTTTTTTATGGGGTCAGAAATATGATAAACTGTGGTCACGTGTCTATTTTTGCTTATAAAGTCACAGAATTTTTTTCTTGGGAGATCCAACAGTAATAGCAACAGTCACCTAAGAAAAACATAACTCAGATTTTACTTTCCTTATTCCATTTCATTAGGAAATATCATTTTGCTCGTAGATAAAAATTACAAATGAACACATGTATTTATAACATACTGATTCCTATAGGGAAAATAAATATCAGAGACTCATAAATCATAATGTTACCTCATAATTCCTCCTCTCTGTATGGCTGTTGTTTGGAGGCTGATATGCTATAAGCACCTCACTGAGATCTTTCCATGTGAAAGAGGTGATAGGCCTGGTGTGGTCTGACAGATGAGTGATGTAGCCCTGTGGTGGTTTCTTGGTAATGTTGAAAACTAGCAAGGATTTAGGTGTTTCACTGTCTTCAGCATCTATTGTTGCTGTTGTCACGGGACTCAAAATAAACTGGTCTACCTCCAAGACGAATGTTGCCATGAAGGCAGCTTTGGGGATCTGGTTGGGAATGGCACCTTTGATACGGACAGGGAGCCAGGCATACTCTGTCTGAGAGGAAAAAAGAGCTAAAGAGTCAGGACAACATATACAATTCAAATAAGATATTATAGGAATAAAGACTCAATTCAACAAAGCAGTTAAGTGTACGTTTCAGTCTTGTGGATCCATGTGCTTAAAGTGATATATATGTTTATTTCCTTTGCTGAGTTAGGTCTTAAAGAATTAACCCAATGGCTTTATTTTTTCCCCCAAATTTGGGACTTCAGTCTACTGTAGAATTATGGGAAAGGCAGTGTGATCTTGACCTCAGCTTGAAATCTCACGCAAAGCTATACACATGTAACTGATTTTTCATTTTGTTGACTGTACCAAAAAACAAACAAAAGAAAAACTGGTTTCAGTCAGATCAAACCAAAAGGATAATTTTTCTTTCTAGCATACTTATATTAAAAATAAATTGTTTTGGTTGAAGAAAATATTTCATTCAACCCACTGTGAAAATATTTGATTAATGACTTCAGTAGAATTAACAGAGAGATTACTTTGTCTCTTCATAGGAATACAGACATGAGTGAGTAGAGTAAAATATTAGGCAGTACACTATTATGAAGAATTCTACCTTGTGCAGAATTTTGCTTCTGCTGTCCATGAGATCCAGTCGGATAGGAATATAATCAATGTCGGGTGAAGGAGGATCAAGATGCTGATACCGAATCCCAGTCAGCAGAAATTCCCCGCAGCTCATTTTGGTGATTTGAATGGTCTTCAGTCCTGGAGTGCAGTTCCCATTCCTGCAGCTCTGGGCTGCTCTCTGCTCTGTAACCCAATAGAAGCTGACATAAAAGATTTGTTTGAACATAAACTTGATCAACTAACACCCCAAAGCTCAGTCAGCATAGTTAAGCAAAACACAACATATGACTCTTCTCCTACCTCACTTATACAAAACAACAATTTTGTTGTGTTGACTGACATTTATTTTTCAACTTCAACCTTACTTGCTTTTTTGTGTCTCCTGTGCTTTAGTGTACTCACTGCCTATAAGAGGCCTTAGAAAGCTTACTGAAGACCATTCTGTGAAGTACTAGTCATCTTCAACTTCACTCACATTACAGTCCTCTTTCTTCTTGGCTTTTTTTTCAGAAACAATTATTGCTGTGCACTAAATTTCATATCACTCTGTGTGTTGTAAGTGATGGGTCTTAGCAATGTGTGTGAAGTGATTTATTGTTGCATGCATTCTGTCTACTCTCACTGTGAATGTTCCTAATGCAAACAATGTAAACATATCATACTAGAAGTGGAAAAGAAGCTATGTGGTTGGTCTCCACGAGGTTCTTCCTGTTGAGGTTCTCCAATGACAACTTGACCATGGGCTGGTAGATGAGTTTCTAAGGAGGCCATTGAAATGACACACTCTAGGTTTATCCTCCTGTCATAGTCAAAAGTGAGCACATTCCTGTCAATCACTCTGGACAGTCCATAAAACTCAGGGACTTCCAAGATGTTGGAACTCATTTTGATGACATTGCAGTCTGGCTCAAGTAACTGCACCTGAAGAGTGAATGTTTCTGTGAATGTTTCAGTTTCTGTAAACCTACAGAGAATAAAAAAATAAAGAAAAACTTAGTAATACTTCATTCCCACTTCCTCCATTATCAATAAACTGAGCATTATCCTTAGTTGCCTTTCTGTTCCCTTGGCAAATCTCCTTATCACCATATAACTACAGCTCACATATGAAGAACCTGCATAGAGATACAGAATGCTTCTCATGACTTGATCTGATATCATGCCTGGAGACAGAGTTTTTTTCCATTGACTACACAAACTCTACTAATTTGATTGTCACCATGCAGAGGAAATTAGGGCAAGGGCTTCAGGAAACAACCTCAGGCAGGGAAAAACTCTAATGTTATGTCTGTGGTCATTTAAGTTAGCAGTAAAGAAGTTTGAACCATACCCAATGGATGTATCCTATGTAAGAAACACTGGGTGGAAATGCTACCTACTTACATGCCACCTCTACAACACTGCCAGTATGTGCTACTGCTTCAGGTCTGTCACTGCTGAAATATTATCAGAGCTCTCTCATCTGTATTATTTCATCTCCCTTTTCTGAGGGGTCTTCAGATCTCAGATTTCCAAGCTCCAGTAGGGGGAGAATACAAGATCACTCTCCTCCTCAAACAACTCCACTGAATGCCATTGATTTCAGGATTCAGTTTGGAATTGCTCTCCTTGTTGATTTAACTCTGTAGAAACTTGCTATTACTCATCTCAGGGACCTTGTTTCTCTCTCTCCCTCCCTCCAACCCAGAGGCGACGTGTAGGGGGTGCACACGGGTGCATGCGCACCCCCCCAAGCGTGGTGGTGCGCCCCCAGGTTGGCGCTTGCTATGCCCCCCCGCCGCTGACAGCACTGGCAGCATCTGCAGGAGCTCCCCCACTTACCACCACCATGCTCCCGCCACCACTGCGATCCCGCTGCCACTGTGCCCCCCCAGCTGCTGAAGGCACGCGTCATTCATGCTCCAACCCAACTCCAGCTTAGGCAGCTGGGTCTCAGAGTGGAGTTTATTAGCACACTGCCTGTCTTGCATGCATACCAGCTGAGCCTCTGGCTTCTTTACTATTCATTCCATCCAGGAAGAGCACACACCAACTGCAGGGGCTTCCTCAGCCTGACAAAGGGTTTTTAAACCTGAAAGCTTGCTAAAAAAAGTTTTTTTCCAACTATTTAAGTTGGTCTAATAAAAGATATCAGATTCACTCAAAGAACCTCATCTGCCTTGGCACAAGTTAAGTGCTTAAGTTTCCTATACTTTAGCATTTCTGAGATTCACAACAGTCAGCATGCTCTTAGCTGCAGATAATGGGAGACACTGAAGTGAGGGTTGAGTCTGAAATCCCACTCTCTCTCCCAAACTTAATGTGAAATTGGGACCACACCTAGCTTTAGACTCCTAAGTCACTCCTTAACATGCAGGCTTTTGGCTCACTTTTTTCTTTTAAGTGGGTAGATAAGTGGTAATTTTTACGTAATATTCTGCTGGTTAGAGATGGCTCACTCCAGAAGTGGAAGAGCTGGGTTATACCCCTTCTCAGCCAAAAGTATTCAAAGCCATATCTTCCATTACCCAGGAGACTACCCTAACTAACAGGCTAGAGTGAGTGGTGCTCAGGGCAGGGTTCTCCCTTCCTGCTGGAGATGGGCCACTGTACAGAAAGGGGTGTAATATGGAACAAGAAAGGGAATTAGCAGAGGAGAGCTTGGCAGTAGCCCAGTGATGTGAGCACTTGCCTGGAAGTAAAGAAAACTTGAAGTTTGGTCCCTGTAATAGCACGGGCTTTGCTAAATGCTAATAGCAAGAGTTTTGTATGCTGACTCCATAGTAGGCCGGCGAAACAGCACTTAACTTTTTGCTCTGTAAGCGTGACCAAACCATGAACCTAGATAGTAGAATGTTGTAATACAGTGGAATGTGGTAAACACCAGGTGTGTTGGATCACAACTCATCCCCAAATTCTTAGCTTGAGATAACCAAATCCCTAGTTTGAAATAACGTTATTTACTCCAGACTATATAAGATGTACATTCTTAAGTTACGATGAGTTCCTCCACTCTGGCAAGAGATCTAGCTTGTGCGGAGCCCCGGCACAGGCTATCGCATCCCCAGGATCAGGACACTCCAGGGTCATGGGGAACTATGCGGGGCGGCGGCTGCCACCTAGAGCCAATGTAAAATGACCATCCTCTCTGCTCTGTCCTATTGCCTGCCTCTGTGAGCATCCTTAAATAAAGCTTTGCAAGGGTGAGAACAACCATAAGTACGTCCTTTGTTCAAGCGCGGGGAATCTTCTGAACCCAGTAGTTCATTCTAAGACAGTCCCCGATCACAACATTGTCCATGCATTTTATCTAATGACTCCTTAATGAAAGATACATGAGTAGTCCCTGGAGTAGGGGTCCATAATGTTTATCAATATTCATGAATACATTACCAGAGCATTTCTGAAACATGTTTTGACAGATAATGCCATAAACAGATGCCTGGCTATTGATTAATAATTATTTCCTAATTATTTACTAAGCATATCTAAGTAGCTACTGCAGACAAGTGCAGAAGATGCTTTTTAACCTGAAAAATGGGATGCTTGTTCTCCATAAGAAACACATGTTTTTCTAGTAATAACAATGTATGACAATCCAGTGCTGCTTACCTGTACAGCCTAAGCCTGACTGAGTCTTCATCTAAAATGGGACAGCCATTGTGAGTATACTTGACTTCATCAGGAAGGAAATGACAGTCAAAAATCTAGTGAGGGGAAAAAAGTTGGCAAATAAATGTGGTTGAGAATGCTAACTGAACGTCCAATTCTTATCTATTTGTCTGAGAAATGGACTGAAGCTAAAGGTACTTTTTAGAGAGTTGTTAGTCAGTGTTACCAAGGGAAACCCAGAAACCAGGATACTACTGGTATGCCATGATTAGAAATACAGAAAAACATAACTTAGTTTTAGTCAGTAATATGGCCCCAATTCAGCAAATCAATTATATATGCACTAAGCCCCACTGTAATCAATGAGAAGAGTGGATTTCAGCACATGCCTAAAAACTTTGCTGAATCAGCATCTACTTCCTGAAGATAAATGATGACATGCATTACACGTGAGTTTGATGGCAGCATCAGTTATTAAGAGCACTGAATACATCCAGTATTTAAGTGCTTGTAACTCTGCTAGATCTTAGGGCTAAGTACAGAAGTTCAAAAAGCCTGAGGTAGAATCAGTTCAATCTTTGCACATTTTTCTAAGCTGCATAGCTTTACAAAAAAAGAAAGAAAGAAAGAAACCCCGAACTCACCAGCTGCTGCAGCAGCCTCAGGGCTTCTGGGGGCTCATGGAAGAGCCCCCCATGTGGTGTGGGCCTGTGGGGAGCAATGGCCATTTCTCCCCTCACCAGACACAAGCCGGTGATCCCAGGGTTTTTTGTTTTTTTAAAGAGCTGGGAGCTGGGGTGGGCAGGGCAGCCATGGTGGGGGCTGGGAGAGTGGGCGGGGGCTGGGGGGCTCGTAACGGAGCCCCCACATGGCAGGGGGCAGCAGAGATTGCCCCCCGCCCCCCCGCCATGCAACAGCTGGTGAATCGGGGCTTTATTTTTCCAGGGAGTTGGGAGCTGGAGCAGGCAAGGCAGCCATTGAGAGCGGGCTGGGAATGGGGTCTGTGTGATTCAGAGTTTTGGCTGATTCAGCAGCAGCCGAATCTGCAAATCAGATTCAGCCGAATTGATTCAGGACAGTGGTTTGTATCACCAAATTGAATCACTGTCCCCTGAATAGGCCGAATCCAACTCCAAAGCAAATACTAGCTGCTTTGCACAGGCCTAGCTCTTGTACCTCTGTGCATTAGAGCAGGGAATTCATGTTTTGTGGGGGCACAGCCTCTGCATCAGGAATGTAACTTTTGACATCCCTATTACATCTCACCCTTTCTTTCCACTCTAGTTCTAAGCCCTTGAATAATCACTGTTTTCACGTATGCCTAGAAGAGTCTTGCTAGAGCTTAACAGCTAAAATCTTTGACTTTTCTCTGACTGACATATAATGAATAGTCATCATGTAAATTGTCCACTGCTTAACATTTCTTTTATGTTATCTCTCTTTCCTGTCTCTTTCTTGAAACAAGGAGACTCATAACATGTACTTGCAGATACGCTCCTATTGCTTGGCTGTCTGTTCTCTCGCATATCCTTCTGATCTTCAACTTAAACAGGCTACTTTAAGAGTCTACAAAAAACTGCTTACCTTCAATTCACTACCAATTTTAAGGACATTTATGACCCCTGTAAGCCAAGTCTTAAGTCCAGAAGGCCATTTTTGAGTGTAGGAAAAGAGCTTAAGGACAAAAATTTTGACATCAAGGAAAAATGGATCCAGCAATGGAGCACAATTGATATTATTAATACATTTCTTATTATGGACCCCACATCTAAAACCTCTGGCTTTGCTCTACCAAGGCAGAGCTAGACAATGTTGAACAGGGTTCATACTGGACAAGGTAGATGTAATTAACTATTACATAAATGGATTTTTTTATTAAAGACCCCAAGTAACGTCCAAACTATAGTATACATCAGGGAGGAATGTTCTATTTATCATTTTAATGGTTCAGTTGAAGACCTGCACCAGGCTCCTAACAATTCTTTGCAATGGATATCAAATATAAAACGGTCACTCTAACCTTATCCCTCAGTGCCATTGTTTATAGCTTGTTTGGTCTTTTCACCACTGTATTCTATAGGAATAAATAAATAAATCTCTTTCTTACACACACACACCTACCTCTTACACATCTCTGTTCTCACTGACCATGTGCCAGGCACAGCTCCTAGCACTGGTCATATTGGCCATATACTCACCTTGCAGACCTCCTATGTCTGCCAAATGCCATCCTGATTAGAGTTACTATATGTCCAGGTTTTCCTGAACATGTCCTTTTTGGGGGGTCCTCCCATCTCCATCTGGACAGTTTTTTTAAATATCAGCAAATGTCCAGGATTTTGCTCTGCCTCTGCTCAGCATTGAAGTTTTTCCTGGCACTTCCCGGCTTGCCCTAGCAAGGAGGTGCTTGGTGCTGGGGAGAGTAGAGGGGGGGCATGACTGGAGGCAGGATGCACACCACTGAGACTGCAGCAGGGTGGGGGAGATGGGGGAGGCTCCTGCCTCTCCAGTGTGGGAAGGTGGTGAAGGGGCCTGTTTTGGGGCAGAGGGAGCTGCATAGCCATGCTGGTGCCTGTGCTTGCAGACGCAGGGCAGCTGGGAGATGCTGCAAGGTGGGAGGGGCGGGGGCAGGAGGCTATGGGTTGGAAGTGAGGGGCACCAGCAGGGCGGGGGAAGGCAGGGGACTGTGGGTTGGGAGTGAGTGGCACCAGCAGGTCTGGGGGGGCTGTGGCTTGGGAGTGAGGGGCACCAGAGGGGCGGGGAACTGTGAGTTGGGAGTGCGTAGTACAGGCCATGCCAGGGGCTGTGGGTCAGGAGTGAGGGCTATCAATAGGGGTTGGGGGGGATTGCAGGTTGGGAATGAGGGGCTCCAGCATGGTTTGTGGGGGTGGCATTGTGGGTCAGGAGGGATAGCAGGAGGGCTGGGGGGGTTGTGGCTTGGGAGTGGAGAGCAGGGGCAGGGTACGGACATATCACTGCCCCCAACTGCTCCCTAACAAGTGTCGTCTTTTTTAAACCTGGAAATATGGTAACCCTAATCCTGATGGAGCCACTAGCCATAATTCCTTCAGTCCTGAGCTATGGGGGCAAAGACATGGACAACCTTCATTCTGGCATGTCGTAAGTTTGGAGACATGTAGTTTTGTGCATCATTTATTTATAGTTAATTTGCAAGAGACAGTTCTCTCCTTACAGGATCAGGATGGGTCAGAAGTATCAGCTATTCAACATGCAGCATTAGGTAACATGAACCCTTGAACTGCAGAAGAGTTATTCAATAACTTTGGATTAAAAATTGGCCTTTAGTTCTCTCAACAGAATCCACAAAACTGTGATTTACATTATTTTTGTACCACGTATGCACTGGCATTGCACTGACTCACAATTTTAAATAATGACAATGTGAACTTTTGCTGAGCATTGTTCTCGTGAGACCTAAAGTTGAGTGGTAACTGTCATATCTGAGTGACTTTCAAATATATACCCTGGCTTTCATCTGCATAGCAAATGCAATACAAAGAGTATTAATAACCACTAACCCAAAAACAAAAGGGTTCATTTACCCTCATAGAATAAACACGAGTTAAGAGTATTTAATCTGCCAACTGCATTCCTATTGACTACAATAACCTGGATGAACAGCATGATTGAACAGCGTGATTGAAGCAAATGTTCTAGCCTTTACCTGTGCTTAATGTTTAGAAAAGGAATGTGACAGATGTTTGCTAGAATGTGCTGGCTTCTTGGTTGGTTACCCTACTCTTTGGAAGTTCTGTTTTTTGCAATCTCTTGCCTATGTTTGAAAAAAACTAAGTAACCATAAGTGCATACCTCACAATTTTTCAATATGCAACAGAAAAAGAATCCTGCCGCTCGTTGTTTTTGCTTTTACTGTTAAGTTTAATTAATCTACATACATTGATAAGAGCCATATAAGAAAAGGTTTTGTATTACAAAGAGGAATGCTATTTAAGTACTCTTTTAACTACAGAGAAACTGCTAAATATTGTCCTCAAATCATAACTTTTGAAAGGGGAAACTCAGCTGGAGTCAGAAGAGTTATCCCAGACAGCAAGTACATAGACTATATAAGTAAAATTGTTGTATGTACCAGCTCCCCATAGTTTTATATTTATATTATACTAAGCATCAGAATCTCTGCTACTGTAAATTAACAAGGGTCCTTCAAAGTTTTGCCATTGAACATCTAATCCTAGTGGCCGAGATCCCAGTTTTCCTCCTGCTAGTGTATTTCTATTTATAGGCACTGCAATCCTCTAAAGATAAATCTATCACATTAATAGGTGCTTCGGGGGGGGGGGGGGGGGGGGGTGTTTTTTTTTTTTTTTTTTTTTTTTTACAAGATATCATTAGCTCCTCTTCCTAATTGATAACAAGGGAGATAAAAACATTTTTTAAAAATGAAGGACCTTCCTTCAGCATAGGCCTCCAACTATTGATACACAGTGATTATAAAAAAAAGACACAATCTGCTTTGCTAAAAGAAACATCTGTTTTATGTTTCCTAATATGTTTTCCTTTTATATGAACAGGCAACTGTAATTGTCTATAAATTTACTAAGTAAAACAAAGGAGAGCTAAATCTTTTCCTAATTACTGTCTTGCTTAGTTTTTTTCCACTTCAACTGCTTTTCAATTACAATTTATAATTAAATTGTCACACATTCTTAGCACATTACTCACTTTAATGACAGTAAACCAGATCAAACCAGAGACATTTCCTGACTGCAGTATTTCCTGGTTGAAAGAGCAGGCTCAGCACTGCCAGGGACAGGATTCTGCCATCTTTACTCAAGGGTGGTAAATGCTTAAATAGCCCAGGCAAGTGCTTGGGACTCTGACTCCCAGAGTCATGTGATTACATCAGAAACTCTCATTAAAAAAACTGACAATGGCTTTAAGCTCTCATAGTTGAAAAAACTAAAAGAAAGCTTGACCTGATGCAGTCATATTCGCCTATCTGCAGACAAGTGTCAGCAAAAGAATGAGCATCAGTCACTACAGTGGAGCTGTGTAACTCCAAGTTTACCATCAGATCAAAGCAACCTCCTCCAGGCCAGATTAGAGTAACTGGGCCCAGTTGCTCCTACTTTTGGTACATATGATAGATATCCTGTATGTCAGGAACAGGGCTGTAGACACGGAGGCTAGGGACAGACGTTACACATAAACTGGATTAAGTGATCAGAAACTGGTTTAAACCTGTAACAGAACAGATGTTCAGTGCACATAAACCAGTTGGAAAATGGCAGAAACCAGTTTGAGATAAACCTGGATGAATGTAGTATCAGACTTAACTGATTTGGGTCAAACCAGTGTATGCAATGTCTGCCCTAGATCCCTTGCTGGTTTAAGTTAAATCAGAGTCCCCCAGAGTCCCCCACCAAGTATGCTTTCTGGGCTGGGTGGGGCTCTCTGCTCCATAGCAGAGCTGGCCCCTCCCCTTTGCTGCCAGGCCAGAGCTCCGGCAGAGACTTGCAGGCACAGTAGGGTCTGCTGGCTTCCGCGTGCCCCACTTCCCCCCTCCCCCTTACCACTCACTGCTTAAGCAGAGATCCCTTCCTCCTCTCTGCCACAGCACAAACCATAGCCAGAATGTGGTATGCTACGTAAGGCTGTATAAGGCTCCAGCAGAGACTGCAGACACAGCAGGGTCTGCCTGGATTCTCCTGACTTACCCCACTGCTGCTCAAGCAGGAAATCCCCCCCTTCCCTCCCTCTCATCTCCCACAGCACAGACCCCAGGCACATGGACCCTAGGCATGTGGTATGCTAGCTAATGCCGAGAGGGGTCTGTGTCTCTGTCTCTCCAGTTTCACTGGGGCAGGCAGACAGAACAGTGACTGCTTAGGGCTCTTTGGAGCTAATCAACAGGTCATCCAGTAAGCCATCCAGTAAGCCTTTAAAAAGTTTGAAGTAATGGAGAGAGGCCATTGTTTTGCTAATTGGGTGATAAAGACTGTTATCACTATCAGCCCCCAGCTGGCTTGCTTGCCTGTCAGTTTGCTGCAGACAGTATGACAAAGCAGGGAGGGAGATTGAAAAGCTCTGTATCATCAACAGACGCATGCACTGCAACCCCCCCCCCACCTTTCTGCAAAGCGCTAGCCCACGGCTGAGGGCTAGCAACACTCTTGCCCCTTGAGCAGCCAGCAGGAAAAAGCCTGGGACCATGCAGACAGACCTCCCTAATGAGAAAGTCCTTCCAGGGCCTGATCATGCCCCCATCAGCTCAGCTCCCTACAGAAGGGAAGGGAGGGCTGCTCTAGCGCCCCCTGGCTTCTAGCCTGAGCCACTGCAGGCATGTGCCTGAATTTCCTCAGTCCAGAGAGAATGTCTGCCTGGTTTCAAGCCAGTTCAGCCTAGCCAGGTTAGACTAACCTGCAAAGATTGAATCAAATCAGGCTCAGGCTTTTTGAATGTCTGTCCCCAGCCTGAAGGAAGAGGTAGTGGGGTTAGATATCTAGGTATTCAGGAAGGTCCTGCGAATGCTTGTTCCTCAGTGCCTCTGAGAAAATTGGTTCTGACTTAGTGTCTGGCAGTCCTCAGGCTTTATGTCCCAAGGAGCTGCTCCAGAAAAGGAGGATTCACCAGAGTATGGAAGTATCCTGGCCCCTCCCTTATTTTTTCTGGATAAACCAGGTGGCAGGCAGAGAGGAGCCATCAGCAGATCTCTGAGCCCACAGACATAACCTTCATGTTGGAGAATCCTCTGCTAGCTAGTTAAGCTACATCTGCAATTCCTTTGATCCACTGGAGAGATACAAAGAAAACCATGATGGACATGATACCTCCAGCACAATCAACCCACAAGTGTGACTTTTTCTCTCTTTGCCCCTGCAGCCTCCTTAGGCTACTACAAACATTAGCCTTCAAAGTTTTGGTTCAATTCAGATAAGCATCTCCTGGAAAATTAATTGTGACCAAGTTAGAAATACCATGAGGCAGAGTTTTAATTTTGGTAGTTTGCTACTTCTGCTTCCAGTCAAAAACTAGGAAACACAGATTTTGTCTCTGCATATTATCACCAACAGCTTTCGTCTTAAATTCAGGGGGTGGATTTTTCTAGGCTTATTAATAAGAGAAAGGTGATACGTGGAATTTATTTTATTGTCGTCTCATGCGAGTAATTGAAAAAAATCCTTTTCCATATTTACCATCTGTTAGTAATTTGGTCGTTGAGCAGCAGAACAAATAACACTGCATGCAATGAGCTTATTGTATGTGATGATTTTTTTCTTAATTGCTCCCCGTGTAGCAACTGCGTGACTGAAATGTAAAAGTGCTTTACCCTGCTATACATTCCCTTAGGGATATTGGCTATTCTCATTGTAAAGAAACAAGCAGCTGGTAGACTACACACTGGTTCCTTGCAGAAAGTTCTGAAAGACTGGCGGCTGTGGAACCCACATACTGGTATAACTCCACTGTCATGGGCAGGTGCTACTGAATTTCTGAGCAAATGCTTTGTTCCAGGGATATAATCCTCAACAAACCAGTACCTTTTAATGAAAAGCTAAACCCTGCTCACACAGGCTATGAAATGTTATGCTTTTCAGTTACTATTGTATGCTTTTAAACAACAGTTCCTTTAAAAAAAACTCTTCCAGATTCTGAGGCATGCATGTGCACGCACACACATTCTCACATGCATATACAAGCCAAGAAAGAAGAGAGTAGTAAAATACTGATCCCAAATACCTGTGGAGTTAGTTTCCCAACCCTCTGTGTTATTGGCTCATTAATCACAACTTCCACTTTGCAGGCATCTTTCACTCTGGGGATAGAAAACTGCAGGTCATCTTTTGACAGGAAGACAGACTGTCCCTTCATCACTTTTACCCCACGGTTGACACTGATAAAGGAGGAACAGACGCATCTCAGGATAACAGTGAGCAGTGGAAACAGCCAGCTGTTCTTAAGAGGCTTCATATTATGATGAGAAATCCACTCCCTTCAACTAGTACAAAAGTCCTTGACAAAAGAGGTCTTCTCTTCTTCCTCCAGAAGATTTTCACCATATAATCAAAGCACAGGGCTTTAGTCACAAGCAACCACTACTGTATGTTTTCTATGAAATATGCCCCTTCAATTGAAATTTGGACAAGTGTGCCTTTCAAAGTACCCTTGGGTTTTCAAAAAACTCCTTGATCAATCCTGACAAAATGATGAATGCGCTCTTGTAGTGCTTTAAAAGTTTGCAAGTCCTGCAGGGAGAAAGAGAAAGCAAAAAAATTGATATAAGGCACCAAGTATCTATTGAAAAGAACAGCAAGGAGATCTTCCAATGGTTCCATAATTACAGTTCATTTCAAACAGTAAACTAACTAGACTTCTACATAAAGTTAAGTGCGGTGATGGTTAGAAAATTGACTATTTAAAAATGGCACCTTCTCGTTCAACAGATCTGATCCTTGTATGGTATCCAAGTTGTGCCCAATACATGTACATTTACATATTTATATGTATGCATTTTGGCCACCTGAAGGAAGAAGGATCCTACCAGCCTTCAGGTCCTATAAAGCTGGCAGACTTCTCTAGGAAGAATTGTGACCATGACTCCCTCTCTCCATTCTCCAGCTCTCTGGAGGAGGGCTGGGGGCCACCTCTCGGCCACCCAAAGGAAGGGAAAGGACCTGGACAGCTTGCAGCCCCTGCAAAGCCAGCAAGCCTCCATGGGTGGAGGCCATCAGAGGTTGATTCTTAAGGGCACCACTTGGCATTGTCCTTCAGTATGGGCAGATCCAAAATGTCAGTGATGTGGTGTGGACACACCCACTTTGGCTGTGCGGTACATGCTCAATGAAGAGAGCTTACTGTGCTTGTGCCACAAGGCTGAAGAGGATGTGGAAGCAACTCCTTGCCATGACCCTGGCATAGCTCCTACTGGGAGCACCACATGTGCCATGAGCTCACTGATCAATACAGGGTCTGCTTAAAACCCTTCTTGTGCACAGCTCTGGATCACAGAGTGTGAACACCACTGCTGTTCACTCTTCCCTCCCCATTCCTCCTCCCCCCATTTGATGAATTCAGCAGCAGAGAAGAAGAGACAAGCAGCATTAGTGCTCAGCCCCTGGACTATGGAGCTATGTGGAAGCAGGGACTGAGCATCACTTCTAGCTGCTTGAAAGCAGGAACTGCACTGACATGCTGGAGAGCTCAGAGATCTCATTCCATGTGAGGTAGCACAGCCAAAGCAAGGGGTGCAACTGTGCCACTGTAACCCTCTGAATTCACCCTGCCCTTTGATGGTGATCAAGGTGAAGATGGAGGGTCTTTTTTTTCTCTTTTACTCCTTTGTTAGGGTTCCTTGGTATTTGTGTTGTGTTTGTCAGGGGGAATGGAATAAATTAGGTGCATTTTCTGGGGAGTTCAGTGACAGTCATAGCCCCTCTATAAGAGAAGAGGGGACTTGGAGGGGATGTTGGGGAAGGGTGGGGAGGTTCTTCTCTGGGAGTGAAGTAGGATGGTGAGAAGAGGTGGGTGGGGAATGAGAGGGTTGGAAAAGGTTCCTAATCTCTATGTGATTGGTGGTTGGAACTGGCCAAAGGGTTTGCTTTGGTAGAGATTTCAGCAGGGATGTGGTGGTTAGGGAAAAGTGAAAAGTTGGAGTTCTTGGGTTTTGGGGTGTTGTCTGGGGAATCTTGTCTGTGAGTTGTTTATTATAAGCCACTCTGAGCCTTTTGGAAAGGGTGGGATATAAATCTAAAAAAAAATAAAAAATACACATGCATACATACACACACATGTACACACATACATACATACATTATGTATGGGTGTGTGTTTGTGTGTGCATGTGTGTGTGCGTATGAATATACATATACAAACAGATCTACAGACAGAATCTTGAATCTATACAGTATTTTGTACTGGTTAGCACAGGGAGCCAACATAGTTATGATAGACTGAGCTGGATTCTATTCTAACTACAGATACTCCTCACTTAACGGCACCCCGGTTAACATTGTTTTGTTATTACATCGCTGATCTATTAGAGAATATACTCATTTAAAATCGCACAATGTTCAGTTATAATGTTGTTTGGTCACCATCTGCTAGTAGGTAACTACTGTGACACAATTGGATACGCCTAACATCGTTTCGCTTAAAGTTGCATTTTTCAAGAATGTAACTACGACTTTAAGTGAGGAGTAGCTGTAGTGTATCAAAGAGGCAATATCCAAATATGTTCCAAATACAGACATAAACAGTTCTCCTGATTCAATGATGGAGGGGAAAGCAGCAGCTGGCTGCTTGTTAAGTCACAAGTATAAGTATATGGTAGAATGTTGAAATTGTTGATCCTTCTCTCTTCAAAACAGAAGAAGGGATTGTGGGAATCATCCTCTACCGATGGAAAAAGAAAATATGTGTATAGAAAGTGAATTATTATCAAATTCTAAAGTGGAAACAAACACAGAAAAATAATCAATTAAAAAAGTCTCCTAAACTGTCTCTTAGTTAGGCTTAACCTTCAGTGTTGTGAGGTGGATCAACTGAGTTCCAGGTAATTTATACTGCTTGTAGTTATATTGAATGACGTCTTTAGAAGCAAAGATTTCTAAAAGCTCTTATGTACTCTGGGGAAAGCACAGTCCTCCTGGGGCTGCCTCATCTCCTTAACACAAGATCAGAAGTTTAAATTTCCCAAACTAATGAACAATATATCACAAAATTAGAATATAGCATTGTTTCAATTAAATATCATAAACTCTTAAGCCAGGAAAGCTGCTGACTCCAAGAGGCACGCCTTTATTTTTATGAGAAATTCTGAATATTCTCACTCCTTGTATATACAGAATGTCAGCACCAATTAAAATCTGATCATTAGCAATGGTCTAACCTGGAAAAAGACAAAAGTTAGGACTGTGTGCCTCTTATTTTTTTCTTTGTTGGCAGTAAAGTCCTTTCTAATGTTTCCCAGCAGTTTAGCTGCCTCTTATTCCCTACAATTGTACATTCTTATCAGTCTGGTTTTACATTTCACTGAGCAGCCGAAAGCAATGTTAGGAAACTGTTAAATGTTTTTCATTTCCTATAATAACAAAAGACAGAGCTACTCTGGCCCAGGATGCCTAAGTCTGTGCCTAACTGTAAGCATCGGAGTAATCCCTGTGGAGACAATGGGACTACTCATGTGCTTAAAGTCAAACATGCACTTCCAAAGTCTCTCCACATGGAAAGACTGAGAAGACATTTTACTGTTTTCTAGCTCTTTAATTGCAATCCTAGAGATTTTAAATTTTGCTCTAAAATTATAGACATGTATCTGTCTATTTCAATAAAACAAAACTAGGATGAAACAGATTAAGAATCAGGAGTCCTGTAATCTTGCAAGATGGAGCAAACACTGCTTCTCCTTATTACATGTATTGGTCAATAAACCTCCCACTCCTTGGCTTTGGGTTCATCTTCATCTACTGCAGGAGTTAAAATCAGTAACCAGACACTTAAGACTTCACTCCTGTTCAACAACCTGATGATGTATAATGCCTCTCCCCAAAACTCCCTACCTCGGACTGTTTACTTCTGTGAAGATGTCTGGACTGAAAATTAACTGAAATGAAGGGTGCCATGGCATCTGGCCTGCAGACCTCCCTACAGGTCAGGAAATTTAGCAGCAGGGGAGCAGTACCAATTAATACTGCCACCCCCCTTCACCTCCTCCTGTGAAATTCCCAAGCCCCATGCTGCCAGATTGGGATCAGGTTACATGCCCCACCTTGCACAGCCAGGAGAAGGCTGGGCCATGCTCCTTTCCTTCTCCACCCCTTGTAGGGCTGGGTTGGACCCAGCTATGCCCTTTCCCCATGTGTGGCTAGACTGGAGCTTGGCTGCTCCCCTCACCTCTCTGCAGCAGGATTGGGCCCCATCATGCCCACCCTGCATGCTGGATTGGGCCCACTCATTGGATTCAGCTCACAGACAGACTGGGCACTGCCCATCTGGCCTGAGGGTCAAAAAGATTGAACACCACTGAATTTAATAAATCAACAGCCAGCCCCAAGGAAATGCTCTGCACATAATGCTAGGCAGACATTGACGATTGCCTGAAGTTCTGCTTCTGAGTGAGCACACACTACAGAATCATCAGCGTACTGGAGCTCAGTGATTGAGGTCGGGGTAGTGTTGGTTTTGGCTTGGCATCAGCTGAGGTTAAATAGCTTACCATCCATTTGGTAGTTTAGTTCCACTTTGGCTGGAAGCCTGTTGGTGTTCAGATGTAACATCATGGCAAGAAATATTAAGAAGAGTGTTGAAGCAATGCAGCGGCCTTGCTTAACTCCCATTTTAACCTCAAAGGGATCTGTAATAGATCCATTGCTGAGAGCCACCTCACTCATGCCGTCATGGAGCAGGCAAAGAATGCTGACAAATTTCAGTGGGTATCCATTCTTCAGAAGTCTCCTCCTAAGACACTTCCTGGCTGACTGAGTCAAAAGCTTTCATGAGTTCAAAGAAGGCCAACTAGAGAGGCTTGTGTTGTTCCTGGAGCTGGAGACCTGTGAAGATCATGTCAGTTGTGCCTCTTGATGCCCTAAACCCACACAGATTCTGGCAGGAGCTCTTCAGCAGGTGGAAGGAGACAGATCAGGAGGGTTATCACAATAATCTTTCCTGTGGTAGACAGCAAGATGATCCCTCTGTAATTTTTAGTCAGATTTCTCGCCTTTCTTGAAGATTGTTACAGTCATGGCCTCCCTGAGGTCCCCTGGGATTTCCTCATCATTCCAGATCCTTAAAATGAGGGCATGGAACTGTGATGTGAGCTCCTCTCCAACCTACTTAAAGATTTTTGTGGGGTTTTACCCCAAAATCCTTGTCATTCTTTATCTGCTTGATAGCTTTCTTCACCTCATCAAGGGTTGGAAGATATCTCTGACTGGGTGTTCCAGGATGAAGTTGAGAACACTCTCATCAACAACAGAATCTCAACTGAGAAGGTCTTCAAAATGCTCCTCCCAGTGGGCATCAATGGCTCCCCTTTACTTAATCAGTCTCCTCCATCCATATGTCTTAAGGGGACTGGTCCCTGATTGCTTGGGCCATAGATGGCTTTGGTGGCACTAAAGAAACTGTGCATATTGTGGATGTCAGCAAGTTGTTGAATCTCCTTAGCCTTGTCTTCCCACCATTTGTTCTTCATTTTGCAGGTCTTCCTTTGGACCTCTGGCTTGGCTTCTTGGAGATTCAATTTCTT